AAGGGGGCTGAATGGGCCTCCTCTTGTTCCTGTGGGACAGGCTGGAGTAGGGGGCTGAATGGCCTCCTGTTCCTGCAGGACAGGTTGGAGAAGGGGAGGAATGGCCTCCTCAATTTCATGTGTGACAAAGCAAGGAGAACATGTTAATTCTTCTAACATTTTGTTTCCAACAGAAAATGCTGTATGTGTATGTTCCGATCTTTTACCTGCTGACACTGAGTGGGACGGTACTGTGTATCATCATCTCTATCAGCGTCTATGAGGTCCTTCGCTCCTGGAAACCAGAAATGGGCCAGGTACAATCTGCTCTTGTTGGTAATGATTACTCTGATCAAATATATCTATCCCCATCAAACACTCTCAGGACAGGAGCAGCACGGGGTTAGATACAGAGTAAAGCTCCCTCTACACTGTCCCCCCATCAAACACTCCCACAACAGGGACAGCACGGGGTTAGATACAGAGTAAAGCTCCCTCTACACTGTCCCCCCATCGAACACTCCCACAACAGGGACAGCACGGGGTTAGATGCAGAGTGAAGCTCCCTCTACACTGTCCCCCATCAAACACTCCCAGGACAGGAGCAGCACGGGGTTAGATACAGAGTAAAGCTCCCTCTACCCTCTTTACTCCCCGTACCTTCCTTCCCATGCCTTGTGGATTACGTCCTGTGTCCTGTTATTTTTATTTCCCCTTTGATCTGTTGCCTTTTGTTTGTCGTGCAGTCGCTGCTATTGTCACCTCCCCTTGACGTGGAAGGAGCTACTTTAATATCCCCGGAGCCGGACCATGTGCCTACGGAACACCCTGAGCCAATGCCGACTCGCGGAACCAGGGATCCAAGGAAATCCAAATCTGGGGCAGGCAAGAGGCCCCTAATGGTTGAGAAGTTTCTGGAAGGAAAGCCCAAAATTTTAGGGGTGCGTTGGTTGCCTTGATATATTATTTCATTTGTGTCCGAGCCGGAGCTCTGTAGCTGTTGTACGCAGTGTCTCATTTCACAAAGCTGATAACCCTGTCCGTTGCGCTGACCCCTCTGTCAGTGTCCTCTCGCTGAGATCAATTGCTCCCACTGGTCTCTGGGTCTGTGCCCACCCAGTGCCCCACGTTGCCTCTCACTTATCCTTTCCGAGGAAATTATAACAACCTCTCTCTCTCTCTCAGTGCCGGCAAAACTAAAGAACTGATCATTGACTTCAGAAAGAAAGGAGGAGAGCACATCCCCCTCTCCATCAATGGAGCAGAGGTTGAGAGGGTGGAGTGTCAAGTTTCAACAGTGACGATGACCGACAACCTGTCCTGGATTTCCCACGTAGATGCGATAGTCAAGGAGGCACAGCAATGCCTCTTCTTCCTCAGACGGCTCAGGAAATTTGGCGTATCCATAAGGACCCTCACCAACTTCTATAGACACACCATAGAAAGCATACTGTCCCTGTGCACAACAGCCTGGTACAGCAACTGCTCTGCCCAGGACCGTAACAAACTGCAGAAGGTGGTGTGCACAGCCCAGACCATCGCGGAAGCCGACCTTCCATCTACAGACTCCACTTACATGGCTCGCTCATCAAAGACCCCTCCTACCCACTCTCTTCCAGAAGATACAGAAGCCTGAACATATGCACCAACGGTTCAGGAACAGCTTCTTCCTGGCCATTATTAGGCTGCTGAATGGACTTCTCTAACTTCAAATAATGTGATCTTACTGATGTTGATCTTGCTTTGTGTACCTCCTGTGCAGCTGTAATCTTATATGCCTCGCTCTCTCTGTCTAAGCACCGTATGATCTGTATGTCCTTATTTGCAATGATCTGCCTGTACTGCTCGCAATACAAAGCTTTTCACTGTACTTCGGTACATGTGACTACAATAAATGAAATCAAATGCAGCATCTTAGACTTCTCTGCACTCAGTTCCACTCAACCCCTTAAATAAAAGCAAAATACTGCAGGAATTGGGAATCTGAAATGACAGCAGTAAATGCTGGAGAAACTCAGCAGCAATTTTTGTTTTCGATTTATTATTGTTGTCACTTGTCCCGAGGTACAGTGAAACGCTTTGTTTTCTGTGCAGATCATCCATACAAAGTGCACTAGGGTGACAGAGCAGAGCGAGGAATACAATGCTGCAGCCGCAGAGACGGTGCACAGAAAGCGAAATCAACGTTAAATTTAAGATGCGAGAGGCCCGTTCATAGCAGCAGGGCAGAAGCTTATTTTTGAATCTGTTGGCGCGTGTGCTTAATCTTTTGTATCGTCTGCCCGACGGAAGAGATTGTAACCGGGGTCGGAGGGGGCTTGGATTATATCCCTGACGCATTGGAAGTGCAGATGGAGTCTGTGGATGCGAGGCTGGTTTGTGGGCTGTGTTCGTGACTCTCTGTAGTTTCTTGCGGTCCTGTGCAGTTGCCTTTCCAAGCTGCGATGCATCGGACAGGATGTTTTCCACGGTGCATCTGTAAGAGCTGGTGCAGGTCCTTGTGGCTGTGCCCAGTTTCCTTAGCCTCCTGAGGAAGTAGAGGCGTTTCTGTGCTTTCTTGACTGTAGCTTTAGCATGGGTGGACCAGGACAGATTGTCGCTGGCCCTCACTCCCAGGAACTTGACAGTCTCGACTATCCCCACCTCATCTCCAGTTGATGCAGACAGGGGCGTGCCCCCCACTCCGCTTCCTGAAGTCAGTGAGCAGCTCCTTCGTTTTGGTGACATTGAGAGGGAGAGATTGTTAATCTTTAAACCGCGCCACCAAGCACTCCGTCTCTTCCCTGTATTCTATCTCGTCTCCGTTTGAGACCCAGCCTGCGATGGTGCTTTCATCAGGAACCTTGCAGATGGAGTTTGGTGCCCACACACTCCCTACGCATGTAAGGGGGAAGGAGAGAAATGGAGCTGATATTCCCAGTCCTGTTTGACTTCCTCAGGAGTGCCGTTCGGTTTTGATTCGGTTCAGTGTCCAGCATTTTGGTTTTATTCGCATTCCAGCAGCATCCGCTGAGAGAAATCAGTTCGAGTCCAGTACAACTCTTCTTCAGGATTAGAGTCTGAAGAGAAGTTAGACTGGACTCAAAATGTTATCCCAGTCGTGCTCTTTCTCTCCTTCTTTCTCTCACTCTCTCTCTCTCGCTCCCTCTCTTCTTCTCCCTTGTTCTCTCGCTCTTTCTGTCTCTCTCTCTTTTTCTCTCTCGCTCTCTCTCAATCTCTCTCTCTTTTTCTCTCTCTTTCTTTCTCTCTTGCTGTCTCTCTCTCTGTCTCTCTCCCTTTCTCTCTCGTTCTCTCTCTCTCTCTCATTTGCTCTCTCTCGTTCTCTCTCTCTCTGTCTCTCTCTCTCTTTCTTACTTGCTCTCTCTCTTTTTCTCTC